GATAATGAGACAAAGAGCGAGGAGCAAGGGAGCAAGTTCAAGAAATTAGAGAGAGATTAGCGATCAGCTGATTAGCAATCAGTTAGCACAATTACTGTCACTAGTTAGCACAATTACTGTCTCCTAGCCTATTATTGGTATTCACAGATTTTGCTATTCACGGGGATCTCGTGGGCACGTATTAGAATAGGACTTGAATGCAGCATCCCCTTTCCCACCACACAGGGCCCGTATACATACTTCTGCCTCACTCTCTGGGATTCTTACCTGATTCAGGGACTTTAAAAAGTTCCTAGGTGCTGCTCCTGCAGTGTGGTCTGTCTGCCCTGGTAGCAGGGGAGGCTGGGAGCAGGGGTTCAGTCACCCAAGCAGTGCCAGCTGCTGCTCCTGTGCCCCCCTTTTTAAAATTCTGCGTCAACCTACGAGCAGAAAAAATTGAATGTCTCCTCTCCCTCTAAGTTAGACCATGGCAGCTATTGAATATCATGTCAGAACAGCGTGCAAAGCTGTCAGTTCCAATGTCCATCCAATTGTAAATGCAGAGTTTAGTAACCACATTGTTTTCACAAATACTGTATTGGGCAATTTAAAATTTAATTTAAAAGCAACACAGTAAAACACTTCACACCCTTCAAGTAGATTTGTTCTATGATGGAAAAGATAGATAGATAGGAGCAAAGCAACAAAGGACTGAATCTTATTTGGTGTCTTAGAATAGCAAAAATCAAAGTGTTCAGTTCAGATGAACACCACTTGTGGCAGAGACAAACTCATTCTGTATAGGATAGCCATGTCCCTGCACTGTTCACCTGAGTTATTATGAAACACGTATGTAACAGCGCAGGTTTACATATAAGAATTGGAGATGTGGTTTTAACAGATCTTTCTATGACCCAAAATCTAATTATAAATGATGTTCACTGGCAGAGAGACAGTTGTTTTATTTTATGTTTGCACAGTGCCCAGCACATAGGATACTATTTTTTTTCACAGGATACAAAACTAACTAGTGTCACCTTTGTCTTAACCAGTTTTAAAAAATAGTTCAAAAATTAAAACAGTGGCATTTTAAAATAGATGATTTAACTATTACCCAGGGCCACTCCACAGCAACAGCTTTTGCAACACATGACCATATCTGAAGGTTCATAAAGCAATGCTATATACAGGTTTTGCTGGCTGGGCACCTTTCAGCACTGTTCATCATAGTTTGGTATATTATATGGCATGCTGCACTATAATAATTCACAAGAAGTAAATGGCAGTGCCTTTGTGGTATCTGATAACTAGGACATGACACACTATAAGACTCAAGAGGATGGGACAATGGAAAAGATAGATTAGATACAGCATAAAGAGCTGCTAAGCTGAGATAAACAAAGAGCATTTTCCATAATGAGGAAAGTGTCAAGTAATAAATAATTACGATCTCAAAAACAATTTTGCTGACAGAGCATAAAATCAAAGCCAGTATTAAAAGAGAAAAATCTGTCACCTACATAGCAGTCAAAAATAAACAAGTTAACATAGACGGGGCTAAAAAGACCCTAATAGTTAAAAATGAAAATTTTGCAGAGTTCAGTCAAGACGACTAGGAGATAGATTTACATGTTGGCAGTCAGATTTAGAAATGAGAACAGGATCATATTAATAAGGTACTTAACTAATTTGTGTGTCAGTTTCATAATTCTCCTGGTTCATTACCTTCTTCCAGGCTGATTAAGAAACATTCTTCTTAATATTACAGCCATAGTAATTTGATTGTAGTTTAAAAAACAAAGGTTTATACTACCTCTTTCCTTCTCCCCTCCTCGACTTTAATGCTAGTGAAAGGTGTTGGGCTGGGTGTGTAGAAAGTAATGCAGTCTCTTTAAGCAGTTCAAGGCTTCCCCTGGTAAATCCCTAAACCGCAACAGCTGGATTAGAGGGCAATCCACTCCTCACCTGCAGTCTGGGCTCTGTCTAGGCCAATGGAGTACAATTACATCAGGCAGGACCTGCCTTTACAGTCCTTCCAAGCATTTGGCATTTCTGGAAACTAATAAGGATAACTCTAGGTCTCAGATGATCCTAGGGGGGTGCCAACATCCCTTGCAAGGGAGACCTCTGCAACCCTGCAGTAGTCACCTACACTTCTTCCTCCTGACTTGCCCTGATGACCTGGTGAGTGGCATCACCACTAGCACCCTAACAACTGCCAAGAAGAGAATCACCAGGCTGCCATGCAAAAAGGACCATATTCCTGAGCAGATCACTGCAGGGTGAATTAGATCATTTTAATTCTGGGCAAAATGGCAGTGACTTTTGCCATGCTGTGATGTAAGCAGCAGCAGGAACTGGGAGTCTCACTGCTCCCAGCCCCAACCACCAGAAGTGAGATACAGGGGAGGGCCTAACCCCCACCCCCTCACATGCCACCAGCTGACAAAGACTTATAATACCTTGAACTTTTCACCACCTCAGCAATTGTACACCTCATGCTAAACCATTGTCTAAGAATGTCTTACCATCTCACAAGTCTGTACTGATGCACTTACCATGCACAGGATCTTGTTCTCTATTCTCTGCAGTGCTGCATTGAAATGCTTCCACCCCCTTGAGCCCAGGTAAGCATAGACTGCATGACCAGCTGCACGTTCTAGATTGCAGACTTATACCAATTCACAACTTTTACCAATTCTGTACTAGGCACAGTGTCCTGCATCTACTCCAAGCTTTACAAGGCCATGTAACTAACTGTATTTTTAACATACATTGATAAAGTTTTAAATTTGCTCTTAGTCCCTTTGCCCCACGCTAATGTTCACTATAAAATGAGAGTGCCATCTGGAGTACGGATACTGTAGTTCTCTACCACTCTAATGAATGAATTAAACTGCGGGTACGATTTACTAGCTCTCCAACAGGAGTTGATGATTATTCAGCAGTGGCTTTCTTTTGGAGATCAGGACCACCTTGATTGAGCACCTATTGCTGGAGTAAAGACAAAATTTGCAAGAACACATTCAGCAAATTCTGTTTTCCAATTTCCACTACCTTGACATGTTGATGAAATAGGAGAACACAGAAAGGGTAGTTTCAAGCCCCATTAGTAATTTCCTAATCATCATCTCAGAGAATTCTAGAGTTCACAAGCTTGTCAGAAACAAGAGCAATAAAGTTAAAGATGCTCTGGGGAAATATTGAATATTAAGCCAGGTCACTCCCTTTGTCCGTCTATCTAGCCTATGAGCCCCTTCTGACCAAGCATTTTTGCTAAACTAGATCCTTAGTACCTGACTAAATTGTATCCTATTTAACTTCAGACCATTTTGGTTATTCCACTCCACTAGAATATCTAATTCTTTCTGTATGAAATTCAATCACCTTCTGCATTGGCAAGACCTCCCAACTTTGTGTGATACGTAAATTTTATAAGCATAGACATAATTCTTACACCAACGTCACTAATGAAAACGTTAAATATGATGGGTCCCAAGACTGATTCTTCAGCAACACAGTAACTTCTCTATGATCTGATCACTCCCTTTTCAATACTTCCTCTTCAATCTCCCTTTTAGCCAGTTCCTTATACACTTTACAATTATAGCCTTGACCTCATCTTTCCTGATTTAGTAAAAAAATTCCCATGAGCACAATATTAAATACTTTGTTTAATCTAGATAGATTAGGTTTGCTGCATCACCCTTGTCTTAGAAGACAGTTATCCTGTCACAGAAAGTTATTATATTGGTCTGATATGATCTTCCATGAATAAAACTATGTTGAATTGTGTTTCATTTTCCCTTTATCTCCATGTCCTTTCCTTCAATATCTGCTCTACAGCCACGCATAATGTTAAAGTAAAACAGGCTTGTATTGCCTGTCTCCGGGCCCCAGTGCCGTAGCAAGGAAATTTGGCCTCTGGGGCAAGTCCACAGTAGCACCCCACCCTCACCCTGTGCACAGGTCTGGGGGACACACACCCACCCATGCTTGCCTGGGCGTGCACACAGCAGCAGCAACCACCCCCCACCCCTGCGCTCTCTTTCTCCCCAGACAAGCCACTCCAGGGTCCGTCTTACATCCCACCTCAGCTGGACAGTGCCTGTTGGTGTCCCTTTTCTTTGGCACCCAGTGAAACTGTCCCACCTACCCCACTTTTTTGCATACAGGAATCATATTGGCTATTCTCCAGTCATAGGTTACTACCCTGCACTGAGAGAATCATGGAAGATCTATGCTAGAGGACATGCTATGTCAAGCACAGTATTGCCAACTCTCATGATTTTTGGTGTTGTTCTTGAAGTCTACGCTTAAGGATTTGCAGACAGGAGCCCTGGCACTGGTCAGATAGGTTCTGCAGCACATCTCATCTTGGCTTGCCTCAGGGTGCAAGCTCCTCCCTCCCCCCCCTTATCTAGCAATGGCCATAAACTGAGACTTCAAATTACCTGCTGACATGCCCAAACTCCAAACCACGAGTAGTCCCAAACTCTTCTCTTCTACCTGCCAGCCTCATGATGAGCCCGAGATGTTTCACAAGCTGCCAGGCCTGCTTCATTCTTGCCTGCTAGGGTCTGAACCTTCTTGGCTGCCCCAAAACTATAAAAGCCTAAGAAAAGGCATTTTGGCCACACTGACTCACCTATCTGCACACAGTCCCAGGGCTCCCGGGGAAGCCTGACTAGAATCTCAGGGATGGGTGTGGCATGTCAATCCCTGCATCTTTGCAGGCCGGAGTCCTGGCACTTATCAGATGGGCTCTGCAGCGCATCTCACCTTGGCATGTCTCGGGGTACAAAAAAAAA